AGAGCAACAACTTCTTCCGTCAAGTCAGCAATGACGATTTCCAGGACTTTGCCCTGAAAATGTGCGCAATGAATCATCTGAGAGAGTCACAACAAATAAGATAAATAAGTGACCAATGAGATACTGTCCTTCTACCGGCAAGCAGCGCAAGCAGCTAGCCTAAGCAGGATCCTATGTCCCACGTTTGTGACTTCGCTACGTCGGGTCGCGAGACGACGCCAAGTCGATGCGACAGGACATGAACTTGGACGGGCGTGACTTTGGCTGGAGTGTTGCACACCAGGCTCCGAATGAAATCGAAAGAACGGCAATTGCACGGAGAATCAGGGCAAGTGACGGCTGATAAAGGCATGTGGAGCAGTCCGGAGGACGTCTAGGACCAAGCAGCCGCGTTCACTTTGTCAAAGGGAATCTCAACGCAACAGACCTGTACAGAAGAGTTAAGTGTTTGACTTCCCACCTTTGTCCTTCTGCTGTTCTGGGATTGTTTAGGCATGTTGAGGCCAATTGGCTTCTTCTCAGCCCCCACGGTGTGCACCTTCTTCTCCGTGTGCCAGGCCTGCCACCAGGGTCACTTGCTGCAGGTTCGCATGCTGGCTCGCAAGGGCGACGCTTTGCTTCGAAAGTGTCAGGCGCGACGCGGAGCGACGCGGCAGCGCGGCTCAAGCGCTGCCGGAGGGAGCGCAGGAAGTAGGCTTCGAGTGGCAGCGTGCTCGATTCTGACATGTCATGAGTTCAGAACAGAAACAACCACTCAGTGCTCTATCTCTAATGCTTTTCTATCCCAAGATGAATAGGAAAGAAATCAATCAACATGGTGCAGGTCCTTGGTATTCCCTGGTTCTTGTTGGTCTTGGTCTACACCCATGTGTGTCACTGAACGAGGCGGGCAACTCCGTCCTCCATGTAGCAGCCCGCAGTGGCCAACTAGAGGCAAATGGGTGCGATTCGGTGCATTTGATCAATCCAGGCAGCTTTGTGCCGAATGCGCCAAGTCATCCAACTGCAGACATGTGTAGTGTACTTTTGTAGACAACCTTGGATAATCAAAGTTGGGCAGTTGGGCCTGTTTGAAAGAGAAGGCAGGAGTGAATCAAGGCGCAATTATACAAATAGTGGTAGCACAAGTGATCAAAGTGATCCTTTGATTCTCCCAGCCTCTCAGGTTCTACGTTTCCTGTTGTCACAGAAGCAGGCCTTGGCTTCAGAAATGTGTTGAATTGCCTTCAAAGGCCAACGTTACGGAAAACACTATGTGGATTCGCAGGTGTCGTTTGCCCGCATATAGAAGCATTATGTTTGCCAGACCCCTTTATTCTAGAAGTGTATCATCTTGAAAAAAAAGCAATCACAAAATGCAACCAGAAAAACAAAAGCAATCACAAAAGCAAAAAAAGAGCCAAAAAAAAACAATCACAAATTGCAGCCAGAAAAACAAAAGCAATCTTAAAAGCAAAGAAAAGCAAACAAAATTGCAAGCAAAAATGGAACAACTCAGCCGGGCTTTCTGGCGCACTTTTTGGAAGCGTCCACGTTCTGGCGTGCATTCTGGTGCGCTTTTGGGGGAGGGTCCACTTTCTGGTGCACTTGGTTTTGCTGGTGCTTTTTTGGTTGCATGTTTTTTTGTTTTTTGCTTTCTTGGTTGCTCTTTGTTTTGCTTGTGCTTTTTTGGTTGCACTTTTGGTTGCATGTTTTGTGCTTTCTTGGTTGCTCTTTGTTTTGCTGGTGCTTTTTTGGTTTGCTTTTTGTTTGCTTTATTTTTGCGTGGTTTCAAGTTTTTGATTTCTAAAATAAAGCAACCTTTGGCGGACATAATAGAAGCATAACAATATGAGAAGGCAAACGTGTAGGTTTGCAGGTTTGCACGATGTATCAACCTGTTCCATTTCACCCTCAACATGCTCGCTTAGAGTTTGTACGGCCAGCTCCAGCCAGGCTTTTCACAGGTCACCAGGGTGCCAGTGAATACGACACAAAGTGAAAACTGCGAAAGAACACCGCAGACCGCTGTTTTACAGCACACCGTAAGCCCCGAAGTATGACAGAGACTCTGACTGCTTTCCTTTGCATTTTGCTAGGTTTGCAACGATCATCTCGCCTTGCAAATGCTTGCATTTGCAGACTAGCTGCTATAGCTCTTCATTTGCCAGGTGAGCATTGATGGAAAGAACAAGAACGGATGGACCCCATTGATGTGGGCTGCCATTGTGGGAAATACGGAGTGCGCCGATCTCCTCATTCAAGCAGCATGTGACATCTACGCGCGGGATGATGCTGGGACTGGAACATGCCACCATTCATGGGCTGTCGGTGATTTGAAGTTGGTTTGTGTTCTTAGCGCTTACCTGAGACTGCTCATTAGTAGGCAGGGGCAACATGCGCATCAATAGACCACTCAACCTCGATGTCGATGGGGGCAGGTCAAAGCCCACACGGTGTTTGTTAACACAGGTCACGAAAGGTACAGTAGCCTGGTAAGGGCCACATTGAGTTTGCTTTGCGAAGCGTAGCTTGAACAGCCTGCTCGTGACCAAATATTGATATATCAATTCTATTGACCCCACCCCCCATACTGATGAATGATTTATTATATAATCAATTATTTTGGTGAACCCCCGCTCGCCAGCACCACTCGCATCACCTACCATAGCGTGACGTCCATTCACTGGCAGCAACAGCAGTGCCCCTAGAATGAGGTTGCACAACATGGCTTCGACACACGGCATGCACACCTGCGGTCTTTACAAAGCGCATGCAGCTCTGGGACCACAGCTCTTACACATGCCAGCGTTTACATGCCGCAACTGTTATGCAAGCCAGCGTTAACACCATTACACCATATTGCTCTTCACAAACTAGCGTTGATGCAACACAGCCTCCACGCAAAGCCGTGTTGGGAAACCTCACCACGCCGCAACTCTTACGCAAGCCAGCGTTCACACACACACACACCAATTGCTCTACACAAACAATCGTTGACGCAACACAGTCTCTACGCAAAGCCGTGTTGACAATCCGCACCACACCACATGCTCTAGCAGCCTCTGCTCGCGACCCAGGTCACTCTTGTGCGGAGCGCGCGCGCGACATACAACCGCACATGCGCAGCACAATTTGGCACCAGGCAATTCTTACACACCACAGCTCTTACACACACCAGTGTTGACAAACCTCCATGTGCACCACACCACACCGCATGTAGGAACCCCTCCTCACGACCCCAGCCACTGTTAAGTGTAGCGGCGTAGCGTGCATGCGACATACGACCGCATTTGCGCAACACAGATTTACCACCAGGCAGTTCTTACACACCACAGCTCTTACATACACCAGTGTTGACAAACCTCCATGTGCGCCACACCACACCGCATGTTGTAGGAACCCGTGTAGCGTGCATGTGACATACGACCGCATTTGCGCAACACAGATTTGCCACCAGGCAGTTCTTACACACCACAGCTATTACACAGCCCTGTTGCGTTTATACTGCGGCTTTCATATATTCCTTGTGACTCTCTACCTTTCGTGCTTCCCTGTCTCAAGTTGTAATGAGCTGTGGACTGCACATGGTTGAATTTAGTATCGACTCATATCCTTGGCACCAAGGAGAAGAGCATGACAGCCTTGATGTGGGCAGCCAAGCACGGCCATCAAGATATTGCCAGGCTTTTGCTGATCCTTGGTCCCATGGGATGATAATACACGCACGGGTGTGCATGGTGTCGGCTCAAACTGTTTTAGGCTCCCAACTTTGGTAGTACATTTGCCCAATGAGTACCGGCGCTCGCTGCACCATGCTGGGGTCAATGTGTTGACTTGATGCGTTATGTGTCCTCTTGGTGCCGGGCGTAGGAGACATCCACAATGATGTGGAAAAGTAAAAAGTGCCTGCTTTGAAGCTCGAAAAAGGCTGTTTCAGAGCCACAACGGTGTTCCCAAAGAGCTGATACAGCCGTGCAAAACAATAACTATGGACTCCAGACACTCGAAAAGTGGAACAAAGATGAACACCCAAGACACTACGAAGTGGCCATACACCAGTCACCGTGGGTCATAGTTGGGGATCAGCCAATAATTCGCCTGGCATGATTGGCCTGGCGCTGCAGGGCTGTCGGACACTTGAGGACTGGGTTGAATCATGTTCATCCTCGGACTCATGTTGTTTCAGGAATGCTGGTGAGCACACTGGCCGAAAGGATCAGCGCGGCTGGCTAGCTGCTGACCATGCACAAAACCATTCAGCAATGCTGACCCTGCTGGAGGCGGGTGCATGTAGTATGCAGGGGTAGGAGAGGAGTGCTTCAACAGTGGTAAACTACGCACTGTCAAGCGTAGATTGAGGTATGGACAATGCAGTCAAGAATCATGCAAAATAGTGGTTAAAAAGCAGTATGATATGTTCACTTTAAGGCGACCGTTGCAACCGTCAGAGGACAGATGATGTCCAATTGCCAAGTTTCGCAAGGGCCTTTTCGCAAGTTCGGACAGAATGCCAGGCCGTCACTCGTGTAAATCAACGCATGTTGTCAGCTGCCCAGCGGAACGACGAGGAAGAAGTGGCCGTATGCCTCCGTGAGCCTCAACGGGAAAGGATGGAACACCAGGTGGACCGAGTTTTTGCCGCACGGTCACCCGTCGCAGTCGCCAGTTTGTCAAAGAGCCCACCAAGAATTGCATCCCATGAAATCGGCTGGTCACCTTAGCGAGCGTGGTGGTTTACCCAGACAAACATTTGTGTCTTTCAGTACCCAGAGGCATCCAGAGGCAAGACAAAATAAATCGAGCGAAGTACTTATATAGTTAGTGTGCATTTGTCCCAGGATCGTCCCCTAATTTGAGCCGCTTCAAGTTCTTGGTGCACCACACAGGTACGTGGACCAAGTCTGCCCCCGCTCAGGAAGGCGCGCAAGTGAACCACGTTGACGCTGAGGGCCGCAGCGCTTTGCTTTGGGCGGCTGTCCATGGATCAGCGACTTGGATTATGCTGGGAACATGTGCGACTGTGCCACCCTTTAGCAACTTTAGCATATTTCAGTGGACTCCAGCAGACTCAGCGCCTTCGATGTATTCGAGGTTAGCGATATGTGCAGGATCCAGATCGTTTTGCTGTCCTCCTTTGGGGGTGATTCTGATGAAATCTGAATGATTCTGAGATTCAAGACTTGAATTTTACAGGTGGGGAAATTAGAATTGGTGGATCTGTGGATTTGTATCACAGACAATTTGGCTCAAGACCGGCCACTAGTCACTACTCGTTTGCTTCTCTATCCTTCTCGTGTGGCTCCCATGGCGGAAGTGGAGAAAGACAGGGTCAGGGCTGAGAGCGGGAAACCTGACATGGAAGAGAAGGTGAAGAAAATGATGGAGTTGAACGAGCTTCGAGAGAAGTGGTCGGACAAGCTTTTCCAGGACAACCCCGATTCAGTGAACTCCTTTATGGTCACTATGGACGAAAACAACATGCCTGCCATTGAAATTGGTGTGGATCCGTCTGCAAGCCAGGAATCCCTGGCTGTACCTGAGGAGCTCTTTTCGGAGAATCTAATTTTCAGGACTGTGGAAAGGATGCGTGATGCAGGGCCTTTGATCTTGGATTTGGAAGATGGTGCCGGCCTGAAACGGGCATAGTGGCATAGGGGATGGAGAGTGGAGAGGGAGAAAGCGAGCTGCTTTCGGCCATCCAGAAGAACTTGATTGAAAGTGGACTGGCCCAAGGGCTTTGTACAGATTGGTTGCCCGCTGCTCTAAGCCGAAAAGACAGAAGTCGGTCCGGTGCTGGAAGTCTACGACACCTTTCCCAGGTATTACCCATGGGCCCTCTGGGTATGCTAGTGCTAGTTTGGTCCGGCAGCCTTTTGGTCACTTAATTAAGAGGGTTTCATATGGGGTACACTTTGAGCTGATTCATCCTCTTATCCACTTTATCCATCTTACCAAAGTCTTTGGCGGTTCCCTTATTTCGATACACAACCGACACAACCCATGTAATGGTGTGAAGAGGTGTCCCAGGTGTCAATGATGTCCCAACAAAATGTTTGTTGTTTGATCCGAGGTGACAATGTTGCACTTACTTTTCAGATTTGGAGCGAGTACCAAAGTGCTGGAAGCTTGCGTGACAGAGCTTGATAATGCCATCAATCAGCACCGAGCCTCGGCTTCCATCGGGGCCCGATGGTGCAAAATTGTGTTTGCCTGATAGTGTTCGGAAGCACGTTATCATCTACGTGGGAAAAAAGCACAGCAAGAGCAAGAGTAATTTGACGGGCTTGTTTCTTGCTGCTCAGTTCTTTCATGCCTAACTAACTAACCATGCGGTGTTGCTATTATATATATATATATATACCTTGACCGCCTACGTTTGTCGCCCTTGCTACAAACGCAGCTAGAGAAACACTCTGCTGAAATGATGCTTTGTTTGGGTTTCTGCGGGTCTTTGAGGACAAGTTGTAGATGTACTGCAAGCGGCAGATGGTGCCAATGTGCCTTGATCGAACTAGCGGCAGATGGTGCCTTGAATTTCAAGAGACTGAAGCAGCGCGGGTGGGATTGGCAAGGCTGCGAGCATCGATATTTGCCAGCGCACGTAAGGCACGCCTGCTGCATTCTGCATCACTTGCAGATTGGCCGGGTGTCCGATTGGCGTGCCAGCCTCAGCAATCGATTCTCATGTGGTGCAAGAGCCTGCTTTAGGATACTTGCTGCAGCAAGTGCAGCACCACTGAGGCTAGAGCAGTGCGCCTTCGAGGGGGCCCCAGACGCTTTGTGATGTTTTGCCCTGAAAGCATTGTTGCACAAGTTGATGACAAGAGTACCGATCCTTGATCAAACTTGATCAAATAGCCGGAGGATGAAATGACAAGCAACAATAGCCAACAATCAAGGAACAACTGCAATCAAGCACGGGCTCAAAAAGTCTTCTTTGACCGCGAGGGAAAAGCGATCATGGCGAATCGCTTCCCACTTGCACTCCTGTTTCTTTTCTCTTATCGCGCAAGCTACGTGGTTGGGTTCACCGTTTACGGAGCCCGAGTCAACACAAAAAATGGGAGCGTGGAGCTGTTGACAACAAATTCAGATGAGGGCACTTTGGTAGAGTGCATCACCGACTTTCTTCTACTGGCCAAGGACTCTGCTTCAGGTAGCAATTTTTCGGGTGCTTTTACTCTCGAAGCCCAGTGCTCGGGAGATTGCCACTTGCTTTTTAAATCATGCGCCAGTGTGGATTCCAAACTCCCTTGGTCAGACCGAGTCTGGTTTGGCCATGCTCAACGCGGACATTTTCCTCAAAGGGTTCACTCACGAGACCTACTTTGTGAACACCTTGCACGAACTGCGTGTTTACGAAAAAGATCCTGCAGCACAAATCCGCACTTATCTCAGAGTGTGGATTGAACCAAGTGCTGTGGACGTCTCACAGCAAGAAGAGGAAGACTGGGCAGTCATGAACCTCCACAAGGTGTCATGGGTTGTCAAAATCCATCCAGAAGAAGCTTCCAGGAGACTCCAAGGATGGGCACGTCGCTATGCCGCAGATACAGTGCCTAGTCTTATCAAAGGCAATGCTTCGCATCCCTACTCCCAACTGCATCGAGCAGCTCTTGGGCAAGCCTTAGCCTTCTTCATTCACGACCAGGGAGGCAGGCTCCAGTATGATACCATGCGAAATGAGCAAAAACGCCGTGCAGATTCCCTGCGTGCTCATTTGGATCAAGTAGCCAGGCCCATCCTTTTTGAAGGCCTGGAGAAAGCCATTCACGTGGTAGAGGCCCAGGGGATCCAAATGATTCTGGCACCAACTGAAAAGGCCTACCGCAAGGTTGAAGATGACATCGTGGAGATGCCCTTGGTGGACATGCTTGCGATTTATGGAGCGGATGATAGTGCCGTGACAAAAACCATCAGATCAACTATCAGTGGCGGCGTCAGCTTTCCAAGCATGCCGCCGATCCGCTTGCAATCTTCACCAGCACCTCCAACACCTCCACCAGAAGCGGGCTTTTGCCCTTGGTGCGGAGGAACAGGCCAAACACTGCGCACTTGTCCTTGGAGTGGACAATTAGTGACAGAAAATTGCCCCACTTGTGGCGGATCAGGCCTTGGAACTTGACTCGGCCCATCACACCGCGCCCTTTGAAGTTCTCCTTTGTGGCCTGCCGACGAGTTTTTGAGTGCGGAAAGAGCCGCTATGGTTTGCGATATTTTACGATATTGACCTAGCTGCCATGTTTTTGCTCGGATCTGGAGCCAAAAACAAACATGGTCTGTAGGTGTATATATACTGTCGTATTCCAACAAAGACATTTAGAAAGTTGAGAGATTGGCTTCCAAATGGCTCCCGGCTCCCAACTTTTTCATCTAGCAAACGTGTGTGTGTGTGTGTATGAAACCCTTCGAGTCAGAGGGCTTCCGTTGAAGTATTTGCTTTTAGCAGGGGCAGTAGCCCGCTCATGAGTCTACTGCCAACGAAGCTGCTCACGAGTTGGGAGGATATCGGAGCTGATCACTCCGACGTACCTGCTGAGTTGTGGTGTTTACAAGCGGTCACTCCCATCTTCTTTAAAGGGCTAGTGCACTCTGCAGACGAGCAGTTGCCGTCACTTCAACCTGTTCGTGGTTTCGCTACATCGTGGAGTTGGACCTCTTGGCCTTTTAACTATACAGGTGTTCAGATCCCCTTTCATGATTTCTTACAAATAAGGGTGCCTAGGTTGCCGTGTGGCGAGTGGCATTCAGTTCCGTATGCAAAATCTCAAGTGTGTTTGACTTTTGTGTCAGCCCAGGGTGTAAGTGTCCCCTGTGGCCCCGTCGAACGGGGGTTTGTCTTTGTTTCCCTTGCTCTGGAAACGCGCGTGCCCTCAGCGGGCGGTGAGTAGGCTTGTGCCAAAGTCACTTGCCAAGAATTGATGAAGTATTGAATACAAGTAGGCAGCCTTCGGGCACGCCACGAGCCTTATTTGCGCACACAGCACGTACTGATTATTCAAGGCAGGTCTTCCTAGGTTCTTTAACAAGGTTTGACGTCCTTGTTTTCGGGCCTCTCCATTTGGTTTCCGCTTTCGTCCGTTTCCCCTTTAAACTTTACACACTGTTTGTTCCTCTTTTGTTTCATGTCTTTCTGTCTTCATGTCGTGGCACCTCACCTCATCCTTTCCCTCTTTGCCCACACATTGGTTCGGCCCTTAGCGTACACGCGCACTAAACCCAGGTCTGAGGTTGCCTAGGTTGTTATAATGAGGTCTGCCTCATTTGGTTGTTCCTGGTCACTTGGTTCCGCTTCATCGCAACCACATACACCTGGTCTGTCTTGTCCTCCTTTCATGTCGTCATTCGATTGTCTTGTTTGCGCGCACGCATGCACATTAGTCTTAACCTTAGTGTTTTTTTGCCTCCCCAATCACAAGGCGTGTGTGTGAAACCCTTGAGGGCTTCCGTTGAAGAATTGCTTTTAGATGCTTTTAGCAGGGGGCAGTAGCCCGCTCATGAGTCTAATGCCAACGAAGCTGCATCACTCCAACGCGCCTGCTGAGTTGTAGTGTTGACAAGTTGGCACTCTCATCTTCCTTAAAGGGCTACTAGCACTTGTGTTAAGTCGTTTGGTCTTGTAGACAGTCGTCCGGATGCTGCGTTTACAATGGGGTTAGATGCAAGATGGCAATATAGCTGGAAGAGTGTCAGGTCAACAACATTGGTTGGATGCTGCGTCTACATGCGGTTTAGGTGCAGGCAATCTATGTTTAGGGGCTAATCTTCACGATGGTCCTAACCTTGCGTTCCGATTGGGGCTTGGTCACCAAACGCTGCAAACTGTGACATAAATCTAGTTCTTTCCTGCACAGGGGCAGTGAATTCTTTTGACAAACATACTTCCGTAGAGCGCTTACATTGTGTTTTAACATAAAACAGGTGACTTTTCGCAAGCCGGGTGACTTTTGACTAATGCTGCGTTTACATGCGGCCGGGTGACTTTTTGCAAACCGGGTGACCAAACCCCAGCGCTAGTAGTGCACTCTGCAGACAAGAGCGGTCGCCGTCACTTCAACCTGTTCGTCGTTTCGCTACATCGTGGAGTTGGACCTCTTGGCCTTTTAACTATAAAGGTGTTCAGATCCCCTTTCATGATTTCTCAAGAATATGGTGTTCGGATCCCCTTTCAAGTGTGTGCGTGTGTGTGTGTGTGTGTGTGCGTGCTCGACTCCGAGGTCAACACCCGCGACGCAGGCTCATCCAGGGGGTTTTGATGTCGAAGCCTTTACAACAGGAAAGTCCATAAGTCACTCCTGTTGGATCCATCTCCTTCATGGCTTGCCCATCTCGGACAATCTTTATCAGTGGAATCTCAGGAAAATGTGTGAAAAGATGGAAGAACTTTGGCCAGACTGGCCGTGCTGAACACACAGACAGGGAGGATTTGGGAAGACCTGTGGGCAGTGCCAAGTCCTTCTGTGGTGGGTTGCCAGGTTGGATTGCATTGGAAATCATGGTGGAACACCGTCACAAATCCGGCACGTGGTTGGATTTACACAGTTCATCCCATAACTTAAAACAGGGTTTGCAGACGAATCCAGTGCCAAGCCAACTGGAATTTCTAAGCGTCTGGCTGCCAGTATTGCGAACGGTTTCTTTCAGGTGTATATATACATATATATTTAATACATACACAGTTCCCACCAGTACGTTCGAGAGGGATAGCCAGAGTTTTCATTTCACTTTGAGCTACCTTCATCTATGTGGCCTCAAACAATGGAGTTTCTCGGTTTAATCCTTGATTTGAAAATTTCCCGCCACAATCTCCCATCCGGACTGCCGTAACATCGCACAGACCATCGGACAGCCATAAGCTGGGCCGCCAGCAGGGGACTTAGCAGTTTCGCGCAGAGAATCAACCCCTTAAAGCTCCGAGGATCTCAAGATCGTATAGGAACCACAGAGACCATTGGTTTTGGTTAGACTAGTCAAATCGATCGAATTTGATCATTTCTGTTGAGTAAATAGTTTCTTGTTACCAGTAGCGGTGCCCTTTGCTACTAGTAGCTTCTTGCTACTACTAGAAATGCCAGGAGCTACTAGTAGCTTCTGTAGCTTCTTGCGACTAGTAGCGATGCCCGTTTTTACTAGTCACTTCGTGCCACTACTAGAAACTAGTAGCTTCTGTAGCTTCTTGCTACTAGTAGCCATGCCCTTTGTTACTAGCCGCTTCTTGCTACCAGTAGAAATGCCAGGAGCTACTAGTAGCTTCTTGTTACTAGTAGCGATGCCCTTTGTTACTAGCAGCTTCTCGCTACTAGTAGAATTTCCTGGAGCTAGTTACTAGTAGCTTCCTGCGTCTAAGCCAAATAATTCATTCTGTATGGCTTTCGGAGGTCGGCATATTTCGAGCATGTTCGGGGCACTTCAAGTCGATACGTCACGCGCTCGCCCGCGTGAAGTGAGTCAAACGTGGTGGAAGGCATCAAAGCATTCAGGTATTTAGAGCATATTAGAGCCTTTTTAAGATCCGCGTTCAGAATATGTGTGTATGTGTATGTGTGAAGTTATGTGTGAATATATCTATCATCTATCTATTTATTATATGTATGACACCTTTGGTATACATATAACATATATCATATATATATATACACACGCGTCAACAAACTACAGTTTGTTCAGGTAACACCTCAGAGCAGGTGTTCTGAAGATCGAATATGCTTGTCCTTTTTTGACTGAACGTTCAACTGTCATGCAAATGTTGAGAGCCGCAGGCCCGAGCATGACCCTGCTGCAGCCCTTGCAAATCAGAGATATGAGTTGTTTATATTTGTCCAAAGGTCTGACTGATAACAGGGTGTTGCATCAGCATCGGCGGCCTATGTTCAGGAGTTTTGACAGCCAGGGGCCTGTGCTGAAAGGACTGCTGACTAGTGAAACCTTTATGGTGGAAAGTGCGGGAACCGAACAGTTGGGTGTTGCCCTTGCTGTCCGTGAGCCAAAGGCTTTGGAGCTGCAGACATTATCCGTTTGCTGGCCATGGCCTGAGGTGGCATTGGCCAAAGCAGATTGTTGAGTGTTGCTGTATCCTATGCAATCTTTTGCTTACTTGAATTCGGATGTGGCTACAGTCTACAGGGCAAAGTTGATGTGTGTTGTCACATGTTGTGTTTTGGGGCCCGTTTGGGTGCTCAACCATGGACCCCCTCTTTCTTGGCGCCGAATTTTTTGGCACGACTTCCAAGGTCAAGCAGAAAGCACAGGTTGGGATGATGGATGTCGCTGGCCCAGTAGCAGCCCAGCGGCTCACCAATCCTTTGTCTAAGAATAAGCATCCATCAGAGACAGACAGACAGACAGACAGAGAGAGAGAGAGAGAGACTGAAAGAGGGACTGACTCTTGAAATTTGGCAGAAAGACCAATCACAGCATTGCATGTAACTGGTCATCAGTTCGGCAGTTATCTCAATTCTTGGGAACTTGAGAATGGGAACATATTGAATGTTCATATCCAAAACGTTTTGGGCCACATATTGTTGTGTGGGATTCACCTTAGGCCAAAGTGCCGTGGGGTGTACTCCTTGCAGTTGGGAAAAGGGTCACATGTTGCTGTTAAGCACTTTTTGAGGCCTTTGGTTGGCAACCCTTTCACTTTGCCGTCTCGGGGCGTCATGTCGAAGCTACAGCCTTGTAGGGCTCTCAGAAGTTCCATTTCCAGGCTTTGTTTGGAAGACGCCATATGAGTTGGGTTAGTTTTCATCACTAAAGGTGGGACTCGCTCCTCTACCCCTGTGCATTCTGTTGTAGCCGTTTGTTCCAGAGACGTCCAGAGAGAACCAGAGCGAAAGACAGGCAGACAAAAGTTTATGCTGTTTGTTGGTGTTTATCAATACTATACCAATTAGTGAGGTTCAAAACAATACAAGTACTACAAGACTTCCCAGCGTGAAAGGGCCACACACGTTTGCAGGTCTCATCAAGAAGCGCGACCTTTGCGCGGCCAGTGCAACAGGGATCTCCAAGCAGATAGAAATGTCGATCTCCTTTATACATGCAACAGGAACCATGAACTGAAATTGCAGCTGGAGCCCTCCTTTTTATTTGGGGACCACTATCTTCAGACTATATTCCTAGTGCTTGGTGTGCCGGGTGGCCACCTCAACGCCCTGAGGCTTTTTCATGCCAATGCTGCATTAGATGTCGAGACCTTCGAAGGCAGGTGAACAGCTTCGGTGGAAGCCTAGGCCGCAGGAAGATGGTCAGATCGTGACCATCTGAAGCTTCCCATGGGATCAGTGCTGTTGGGATGGTTGTTGAACAGCCATGTTCCTGTCACTTCAGAATTTTTTGTTTTATCAGCGGGGTAGAGGTGCTGGAAACCGTTTTGTTTGCCCAGCTATTGCTTGGTTCCAGAGGACAGTATGAGCAAACTCCATACAGCACGTAATGTTGCTTGCTGATAAAGAAAACTCTACCATCTCCGGGATGATCGTTCAGATCTCCAGTCCTGGCGGGTGAGTCCTACCATCAGTGAGTCAACAGTTCTCGGATACTTGTTGATCAGTCCTTGTTTGCCATCGTGAACAACACCCGTGGCTGAAGACTCGGGCCGAACTCGCGGCGGCGAACGCGCGAAGACGTTCGCTTGGGGGTCAGGCGACTCGCCACTCCAGATGGCGATTCAGGCTGATGATGTGGCGTGGCACGAAGATGCGAATCCACGAGGTATGGACAAAGCGATGGGAACAAGGTATGGACGAGTATTGAAGCTTCAAAAACCATGAGACTTGTTGATCTTGTTGCGAGTTGCATTTTGGTTTAACGATATCTTTACTGTATATAAATATTTCTGAAGGTTGAAATAAAGTCTCCTCACCAAGATCCGAGAATACTGGGGAGGCCCACTGTGGCGACCCCGGACTCTACAGCGTTTTTGGACCTCGTTTTTGGGGCCGCCGGCGGAGCATGTTTTAGCTGCTAGCGTTGTGATCCAGCTGTTCTGGCATGGTGTAATGATGGACGTTTTGCATGCTTGGTGCTTTTTTGTTGGTCGGCTGTTTGTTGTTCGTCCGTTTGGGTGGGTGGAAGGGGTGGCGTTGCGTGGTCAGTTGCATATTTGGTGGGTTGCGTGCGTCGTTGCGCGATGGGGCTTGTTACGTAGAATTTTCAGAACCATTTGCTGAGAAGTTATTTGTTTGGTCCCTTTTTCCGCGGGCATGTTTTGGGTTGCGAAGTTGGTTGGGCCGGATTTTTTGGCAGGGTGTTCGCCGCGTATTGGCGCAGGTTGGCAACAGA